AATACTATATATGCATGCACTTATGCGCTTAAAAAAGTACAAATATGCTCTAAAAATATGCACTTATATTTTATTTTTGTACACAAAATTTTCATTTGCACAAATATTTTATAAAATTATAAATATAGAAAAAGCAAAGTAATAAAAATAATTTTGATTTAAAAAAAAAAATAATAATAATAAAATAGCATTAAAAATGTTTCTTGAATAAAATAAAATGCACTAGTAGAATGTTCAATAATCATTATTTTCTAGAAAAATAGTTATAGAAAATCATTGTATTTCGATAGCAGCTGCTCCTATTTGATATTTTTATAATATTTTATTTTAGATGAAGCTAGCAGTAATTATAATTTATAAATATATGTATATTATATAAACCAATAGGATAAAAACATTGTTTTTAATGTCGAATGGGAATTTGAAAAATACAATACAAGAATATTAAGAAAGTTCTCTCAATATGAATGAATTAATTTTTTATTTTTTTGAATTTTCATTCTGAATCTTCAAAAATCATAAAATATGCTCTAAGAAATTGTAAAGTTAAGAAATATGCTATAAAATCTAAAAATCACTAAATATGCAAAAATATGCACTATAAATTTTTGATATGGTTTTCGTAGTGTCTTGGAACGAATTTCTAGCTCACTCAGCAATAAATCCAATCGTGCAAAAAAAAACATGCAAATGCAACAACTTCCGAGCCCTACTAATTACATATATAATGTTATGTGTTGTCGTGAATGAATAAGAAATTTTATTTTAGTAAATAATAAGTTTAACAATAATATTTATGTATATTTTTAGTGTCACTTTAAAATATAAGAAAGTACGCTTAAAAAAGAAAAATAGCCTCTATTTTTAAAGTTTCAACCCTTTCGAGCGACGTGAAGGTGACTTATCATGCTCAAAATTTACCAAAATTATTTATTAAATATATCGAACAGAATTAGTGAGTGAGAGCAACAAATATCAAAAAAAAAAAAAAAAAAATTGACCTATTTAGCTAAGTGCCAGTCTACTGGAGGGGTAATGTAAATTTTATAAGTCGGAGTAGGTTTTCGACAAAATTTAATTTTGTTTAGGTACATCCTAATTCAAAAAATAATAACCGTTAAGCAATGATATTTTCACTGAATGCTTATATAATTTACGATATACTTGATATAATAATAATAATAAAAAAAAAATTGATCTTTATACAAAAAACTTAATTTTTTTTATTTTCTTAATATTTATTTTCGAAAATATTAAAAATTGTTTTTTTGTTTTTACAAAAAAAGTCTTAAAAAAATAATACAAAGTTTTCTATACGTATATGTATTTATTTTATTTATATATCTATACCCGTATCCATATATATAATTAGTTCTAAAAAAAAATTACAAACGTTTAAATATTAAATTTTATAAAATTATAAAAGTCTATTACATTTTTATAGTTAAAAAAAAATAAAAATAAATAATGTATTGGAAAGTTTCAAAAATGAATTATAACGTTTTAAAATGAAATGTTAACGAAATTGGTTATTTCAACGAAATAATTCATAAAATAATAAAAAATTAAATTAAAATTAAAAATTATTGAATGATTAATACTTGTAAATTAATATATCAGAACCGTACCGAGCTATTTTTTATTCTGAGGCAGAACTGAAGCATTGCGCCCTCTGTTGTAGTGTTGACATACTCACAGCTTTTAATATGTATAATACGATTAGGAAAAATTTGAAAAATTGTAATCAGGTTTCTAGCAAAACAAGGAATAACATTTTCAGCCACAAGTATATAATTATTAATTATCATCTTCTTATATTATGGTAAACAAATAAATTTGATATTTGCCAATTATTAGATGTTTGAAAATAATAGTTAATAATAATAAAAATATAATAAAATAATTTAAAACAATTATTATTTATAATTTAATTTGCCTTGCTTTTGTGTTAGCAAATATAATATAGATATTAAGCAGATATCGACAACAATTAATACTTTTTCTTAAGTTAATCATTTAATATTTTTGCGCCCCTCCAGCTTCAGACGCCCATGGCAAATGCCTTCTTCGCTTCACCCTAGTTTCGGCTCTGTAATGTATAAATAAATAAATAAATAAATAAATGAACTCTTAGTTTGAAGGATTATTATACTTATAATATACGACCAGTTTCGAGTTAAAAATTCATCGTAGGATATATACAAAGTCAATAATATGGCGATTGTTAAATAATTCAAATGGACAAATAATAGTATTTTATGTTGTATCGAGGAATATTGTCGAAAGGAGTGTTTGTTGTTCCCAAAATTTAATTTTCCCATTCTTTTGAAAGATCCGCAATACAATTATTATAATACATAATAACTAAATAGCGTGTTATATAATTCGTTAAAAGGAAAGTTTTTTTGACAAATAATTAATGGTTTGTTTAAAGCGGTTCGTTATGCAGGAAGTTTTAAATATATTAAGAAAATATTTACGATATTAATAATATGGTTCTACGAATTGTTGATACCGTTGGCCAGAGTTGGGCAAAATGTTATCTAGTTAATTATTAGAATAAAAAATTATATTTATATCAATATTGAAGATGGTATTATTGTATCTAGTAAATAGTCCGTAGTAGAGTACTATAGTTTATAGATTATGATATAGACATGTATCGTTTATAATAATATATATTATACTGATATGTATATATGTTGTATCTCATATTTATAAATTCAAATATAGAGTTCTACACAAAAATATAAAGGTTTTATCTAATGTACTTTGTACAACATAAACTTTAAAGAGTGTCTTATAATTATAATTATGACTTGTGTCGTGTTGCCTTATTAGTTGGTTAGTTGTCCTATGAACGAGTGTATGAATGAGTGACAGTGGTGTTTAATATTCATATGTAACTATGACCAATTTACCAAAATCCAACAAACTATTAAATTATATGTTTGAACAAAGGGTTATTCTGAAATATAATTTAATAATTCATTAATAACCAATAAGTATAATGTTATTTGTTAATATTTGAATTATAATTATAATTAGTTATCTACTTGCTATTATTAGACTTATTTATTGAAATTTAAAATTTTTTATAATTACTTATTTTCATTTTCGCTAAAACTATTTACATTTTTGTTACTATTATTTACTACTATTTTTGATTGTTGTAATTGTCATGAAATATTATCATAAAATATTATTCGTATTACAATAGTAAAAAATTATTATTTAAAAAATGATATCAAATTCTTCACTTTCTTCTATTGATCTATATTTGTTTTATACATGATATTTTAACATTTTTCCGAATAAAATAAGATTTATATTATGTAACTTAAAATACAATATCAACTATTGTTTATAAATTATAATATATGCCTGTTTTAAATTACGAAACCAATGTTTACCCAAACAAAATGAACGAAAATTATTCGAATCATTTTTTATTCGAATTATAATATTAGAAAATCATTCGAATAATTTGTTATTCAAATGTTTGAAAATTATTGGAATACATTTTCATTCGAATAATTGTGAAAAAATCATATGAATAAATACTTATTCGAATAAAATGTTATCTAAATAATCATCTAAATAAAATTTTATTCGAATAACGCCCTACTCTGCCGCTGGCCAACACTTTTATGATTGATTTTAAAATATTACATAGAACCCATTACTTACACATACCTGGATGCCGGTGTACATGAATCGCGTTCTGAAATCCAGTTTCCACATGAATTGCATCCCGGGTTTTCTAAACGACTATACGAATCGCATCCCAAAGTATAAACATTATTTTCCTTCCCATTTTATGCAGACTTAGGACTGTCAACAGCTAAATTACTAACGGCAGGTTAATAATATTGTTTGTGTTGTTATGCAATTAGAAGTATGTCAATTAAATAATATATTAATTTCTAATTATAATCATATTATAAAATTAAAAAATAAAAAGATTAAATTAATGATAAAGCCGAACGTAATTCATGCAGTCGTCTGGAAAACTCGGGACGTAATTCGTACACTACCTATTTTTCGATTTTTTTTATTTTGGAACGCAATTCTCGTGTATAACCGTGGATAACAGATATTACTGGAATCGTGTGCATTCAACTTGTTAGGAGCAGGTGTTCAACGAACAGAACACGTGAATTAAAGCTGTCTGTCGTTTCACGATCGAATCACTGCTGATTGTTTCACACTTCGTACACGCACGAGCGCAACAATAATTCATATCTTATCAGATTACTACCAACATCTTATAAATTTTATTTTTTCTAAACATACTATTACTACAGACTTCGAATTCTAGTCTGTGCCAAACTAGAGCGTTATTCGAATAAAATGTTATTTTGATGATTATTATATATATATATATCATAATATTATAACATTTTATTCGAATAAATTATTATTCGGATGATTTTTTTATTCGAATACATATTTATTCGAATAATCATATAGATAAAATGTTGCCCAGTTCTGGTATTTGCTACTACATAAATGGCATTTCTCCTTTTCATCATAGTCATGACACATCGAAATTCATCATTTCGTTTTCCGTTTATTTAATTCAATTTCTGAAATTTTTATGAAACTGAGAAACACTGATTGCACATACAACTGCATAAGGAACCATATTCGTATGCAATGATATATTTGTGTTTCTTGTGATTTAATCAAAAAATAGGTATGAATGTATTGGATTATCAATAAAATAAGTTGAACTTTATCCTAAATTTTCTGGTTATTCGTTTACATACTACATATTTTCCGTTATCTCTATATTTCTCGAAAAAAAAAAATTTTGGTCCACGACACCAAAGCGTAGCTCAGATTTGGCTCACCGTAAAAAAAAATATTGGAGATCCCTGACCTGTGCGGAACATGTAGTTGTTGCTGCTGCTGCTATTTTTCGATTTTTTTTTTTTGTTTTCGTGCCATTTAACCGTCAGTGGTCGTATACGACCACGTGTTGTTTTGTTGCGCAGGTACTGGACGGACAACAAGTCGGCACAAATGGTGGATCAGAAGGTGCAACACGCGCTGTTCATGTTCGCGTGCACCAACTCGTGTATGAATCCAATCGTGTACGGGGCGTTCAACATACGCACCAGGAGGACGCTGGTGACGCAGGTGAGACCCAGTGCCAGTTTGGCGTCCACCGCATGCACCACTGAGATACGGTTGCCTGCGCTTTCCATATCGGTTCGCCGTGTCGAATGACGATAACCTAACAAAACAATAATAGTATAACAACAAGCAGTAATTATGATTAATAATAATAATTATAACAATAACAATAATAATATTAATAATAATAATAATAATAATAATAATAATAATAATATTTCTAGTAAATGACAATTGATATAACATAATTTCCTTACAAGGACGCAGGTTAAGATTACTTATGGGATGGAAAGGGGGCAATTTGATATATTTAGATAATAAATATTAATGTACTAGCCGGGATTTCGGCAATAGGGGGTTCAAACCCCCCGACCACCTCTACCCTACGCCGCTGTATCCTCGGCATAAAAGTACGTTGTTTCAACGTACTGCACGACCAGGTGCGGTAATCGATTTGTTTAACGATTCATATCGTCACCGTCTGCAGTATATCAACACGTTCTGGTGTCTCGGGACGCAGAGCGCATATTGTATTATTTTACACGATCACGCATAATAATCCGCCTTAGTACCGCTTTGTACATGCATACCAGTGGCGTAGGTAAGTGGGGGTTTCGGGGATTCGAACCTTGCCTGTTGCCAAAATCCTTGCTTGTACACAAATAAGTTATAAAAAAAATAATTTTTACCAAAACAAATTGTACCATTCCCTTATCCCATAAATAATCTTTGTCGATGCCCTTGACGTATACTAATACGCCGCTCGTTATTTAATGTTCGAGATGAGGGATCCCGGCGATACGATGACAATGATATCGTTGTGTAAAGGGTTCGGAAATGAAACTTTTCGTCGTTTCCCATTTTTTATTCCCCACTGGAAACTTAGTGCCCATGTACGGATCGTCCTGATGTTGTACAAATTTTTATTTATTTATATTTAATTCTTTACGAGTCCCTCCACTTGCCAACAACGTATCCGCCACCACGTTACGGTTAGTAATAATAATAATAATAATAATAATAATAATATGTTATCATTGAAACGATACGAACGTTGGTGGCGATGTCAAACGACTTATAGAACATGTAATGTATCATCGAAACTTTTTGTTAAACAATGCTTTTACATCAGTACCGCTTACTTGATTTAGTAAAATAATTGCTTCAGATACAAATTCAATGGTGTTTTGCTGCTCGCAATGTTTATTTTGATAACCCACCGTAGAAAATTTTTGATTTCATTATGAATATAATTTATGGGCATGATTCAATGCTTAGAATAATTAATTGCAATGAAAATTCACATATACATGTAAATACGAATTTATTTGATACCGATTATTTTTTTAGTGTTAAACGTGTTTTATATGAATTTATTTCCACTATTATTAACAACAATTATATGGACTAAAATTAACTGAACACGTATTGCAATTAAGCCTAGTCATAATTTGTGTGCTTTCTTGTTTTATTAATTTGAAGGACTAAAAAAAGGCAGATAATGTTATGGTTATTTAGACTAACGATATAATAATTTTAAGCTGTGATAACGAAATCGTTAGTTCAATATTTAAAAAATATTACCATAATAATATATTGATGTTATTATATTGTGTTAGGCCACGATCTCTAAAACTTCTACAGAAACCAGATTAACGGATTTTTGAAGCGCTACTAGATGGACTACGTCGATACGTATAAACATGCAACTTTTATATCAGTCAAACCTATAATATAAAATTTATAAATATATTTTGGCTTCAATATCGATAGGAATTGATAAGTCTTTTAACATATTATATAAAATGCATAATAAATTTTAATCTCCGATAATCGTTTATCTAACACACACGTGTGCACATTAGTGATGAAATACTTGTTTATCGATTCACGAGGCATTTTTATGAAATCGGCTGTGGGTGAGTTGCGGTCCGACGTATCGTTTTTGGTGTTGGAGACTGGTGAATTCTGGTCAGATAATATTGTAGCTGTAGGTGAGTTGCGGCCCGAGTATTTATCATTACACATATACCTATTAACTATGTACCTGTGAGATACGGTGTTGCCTGTACATATAGTGATGAACGAATAACGATAAACGAAATGTTCGATACGTATATCAAGTTACATATTTATTTAATATAATAAAGATAATATAGATCGTTTTATTGTATTATCTGCCGCATGACTCGCATTAACTACGAAAATTTTAAATGACAAAATGAAAATTGTCAAATCGTATTTAGTCCGAAATCAATCTTTGTTCGTATAAGTTCGTATCGTTTGTATAATAGTTTACTACTATTACAAATACTATACGTATTTGAATATTTCGTCATGAAAGTTGTATATAGTGAAAAATCAAAGCTACTTATTATCTACGAAGACTATAAATCCGTTTTCATAAGACACTGATGTACAGCGGTGGCCTTTCTGTTTCAAAAATTGCAAGTGCTTTATTAAATTATCACCTTCAAATAGCCGAGAGTAACATCAATCACGACATAGAAAACATTATGAAAAAATCCTAAACAGGCAAATAATGAGTAATTCTATAAAAAGAAAAGCTGTAGTAGACATTTCTTGCAATTCAACAAATCTTATTCGCTTGGAATTGAAATAAGGTGATATACCGACTTTGACAAACAATGATTTATCATTAATTCGGTACATTCATCGTGCCCATCTATCTGTGCACCCCCTCTGTTGAGGTGCATCGAAGGATTACATGCTGATTTGGGGTTCATGGAAATTAAAACCAACACAGGTGAACAATTTTTGTTTGTAAACGATAACATAAATTCGATAGTTGGTTTTTCTACACAACAAAATATTAAATTTCTATGTGATGTAAAAAAATTATACGTCGATGAGACGTTCAAGAGCTGTCCAAAGAAATTTACATCATTTATTACCATCTATTACCATACATAGCCGTAAAAATTATGTCTATTTACTTCTTGTGATTTTTTACTGCCCAACAAATTAAATACTACATATACGTGTGCATTTCGACATATAATTCGTCACTCCATATTCATTGGTATATCGTGTTCTCCTACTGATATTTTTATAGATTTTGAATCACCAATACATAATGTTGTAGCGGAAGTCTTCCCTGAAGTTCAAATAAGAGGATGTCGATTTCATTTGGGGAAAAGTTGGTAGAGAAAAATCCAAAGTTTAGGATTTACAAAACTATACAATGATAACATAGACGATAGTCATTATTGAAAATATTTTTTTGGATATTTTTTTACATTATTATATGGCCGCAATTCGTACGTACATTTCATAAACCTGGGCCGCAACTCGTACGTTCTTTAGGAATTGGACCGCAACTCACCAACACAGATAAAATTGTACTTCATTTTTGATGCTGTTATGTTAAAACTTATACTTTTTTTATTTTTTTTTTGAAAAATTTTGTTTACAACCAAAACTGTTTTAATTTAAAAAAATTATATATAAAATATGGAAATTCTCTTTATTACCATCACAATACAAAATTTAAATAATAAAAAGATTGATTCGAAAAATTTGGAAAGTTTAATCCATTAATTTAAAAAAATCTATAGTATTTTTGAAATTTAATTATTTACTAAATTACCATAATGTAAATATTACGTTAAGAACAATATTATTGATCATGAAAATACATCAGTCAATTAAATAGTTCGATGGAAAAATATACAAACAAATTTAGAACTTAACAGTATTGCTTTAAAATCCAACTAAAAATTGAAGGCCTTACGCGGTAAATACCAAAAACACATTTCATAGGGTTAATGATGTATTTTTTTTATGCTTATCTCGAATACATGTTTGAATACGAACATAAATTATAGCTGATAAATTTTTATTGTAACTGTCTTGTTACAGGAGAGCTACAAATAATATTTTAAAATATTTAATAATTATTATTAATACAAGATTTTTTTATTTTTTTTATTTAATATTATTCTCTGTTAATGTCATTTAGTTACGGATAGTTATAAAATGTTAATTCCTATTAAAGTAGTTATTATTTTATAAATCATATTAATCATTGATCGTGGTTCGTACATTTCATAAAATTATAAACAAAAATCGATGTAGTAGTTTAGAGCTTGCTTTTAATATAGAAATAATTTAAGTAATTTTTGTGCATCGGCTTTATAGTTTCACAAATTATATAATTTTATTATTATTATTATTATTATTATTATTATTATTAAATTTTAAGAAAATCATCGCATGTGTTATATTACAATTAGATTATTAATCTGTACAGATTATGTTAGTAATACAATTTAGAGTTTTTCAAAATATCTGTGTAATTATAATAGAGAAAAAATATTTATAATTTTCATGTACAGATGTATGCATATATCAGGCATAATTATTTGTGTTTATATAGATGTATATTAAGAAGTGTGCTAAGTGTTTCTACTGTAAACACTTGGTATGGATAAACTTATTATCTTTTAATGGAATATGATTATTATTTATTATATTTTCAATGATTATAAGTAAATTGAATTAATTGTCTTATTTTTCAAATAAATGTCGTTGAAATATAATAATATTATATTCTGTCGAGTATTCAAAATCTGACAAAAAACAGTGTTTAATTATTTAAAATCTGTGAATTTTCATATTTTATTGTAGATAACAATGAACAGTTTTATAACTATGAATCAATATATGATACTTTATTTGTAGTTCGCACTGGAATAATTTATCTAAATAACAAAATAAATGAAGCAAGTAATGTTTTAAAAAAAATCTCTATTTTACGAACAGATAAGACTCTACAAAAATCAATATTATATTTGCAGCGTAATGTAATCAATTAAATTATTTACAATTGGTTTAAGGTTCAACTTCTAAACATGTAAACTATTTTATTATTTATACAAAAATAGTTAAATTATTGATAGTATAAGGTAGTTGAGTAAATTAAAGTATCATTACTACTTTGCAATAAAATCACACATTCAATCATTTAAAAATTTAAATAATTTTTAAATGAAATTATTATGACTAGAATGAAAACAGTCTTTATAATTCTAATATCTTTCCAATCGTGGCTAATATTATCATAATCCATTTTTAAAATTTTATTTAAAAGTTTATATTAATTATAAACAGTCTTTTTTCTTTTTATCTGAAAATTTAAAATAAACTACATTGATCATAATTATTATATTATGATATAACATTAAATAATTAAATTGAAATGAAATTTTTGTAAACTCTATTCTATTAATATTATTTATAATAAATTAATAACTAAACAACTCAATTATTTTTCTCGTTAAGAATACTACTCTATAACTTATTATAACTATATTTATATGCATTATAACCCAACTAATTATACGCAAGAAAATTTTTATATATATACAAATGTAGGCACTAAAATACATGAGAAAAATAATTATGCACTCAAAAATTAACAAAAAAAAAAAACATTTATTTTTTGAACATTAAATTAAAATAATATATAAAAAAATACATTTAAAATGAGGAAGGATTTATGATTAAAATATGGAACCCTAATTTAAAAATACTTTTCATTCATCTTCTCTTTTAGGAATTTATTTACCAAAATTAATTTGTAGGTAGTTTTAATATATATATAAAAAAAAAGAAATCAATTAATATCAAAAATGTATTCTAAAACAAATTTTCTTACCTAAATGTGAATTTCATTGAATGACAATCATTTTAGTTATATTTTCAAAAACCATTGATCAGTGTTTGACCGTCAACAAATTTTTATATCTGGAAAATTAATTTTCCACGGCTACAAAATTAATAGGTGCATTTAAAAATAAGCACATAATTTGGAGATAAATATTCGCTGGTTTGAATCGATTTACTTTCACCATTTAAAATGCTTAATATTTTAGTATGTCTTAGCCTTCGTTTTTTTGATAATATTTTTCTACATTTTTCATAAACAGATTTACCCCTTATATTAAAATATCAAAGTAAATAATTCAAAAATTAAAAAAAAAAAAAAAATCGAAATATGTACTAAAAGATGAAATATGCAATTAAAATCGTTAAATAAAAAATAATAAAAATAAATAAAATAAAAAATAAGTAAATGTCAATTACGTAAAAACATGCCCTAAGAGTTTTAATTGATAAAATCATATTATGAAACAAATGTTGTGCTAACTTAATACGACCTACCACTATACATTTGCACATGCATGTAAATCCGAGTTAAAATTGTAACTCATAAAAATTAGCTATACATACAACTTTTTCAAAATAAATATGTTACCATTTCTAAGATTTCGGTTGTTATCAGTCAATATTTTATGTTTTTGGGTCATTAAGCTTTCTTATTTCCTACCATGTGAATAATAGTTTATAAATAGTCTATAAATCGCATTAATTCATTATAACGATTTGATTTATAGATATTCTATTCACGAAAAGAGAATTGCATTCTGTATCTGCATATACATACAAAAATAAAGATGGTTTTCAGCCTGCATTATATTAATATAATTATATCAAAACACTTCGTATAATGTCTATTGATGCGATAGAAAAATTAAAAAAATAACAACATTTTTTTTTTTTAGTCATTCTTCATTTGAAGATTAATCTTGTAAAAAAATAAATAAATAATAATTTAATTTTTCAGATTAATGATTGTAAATGTAGATACATTTTTTCATATGAACTATTTATTTTATACATCATACAGTTTGCCAGTAACTATATTACTTATGAACAATTTAAATTACATTTTATTTATTTTTGTAGTTTACTATACGTTTATAGATAATATTGGTCTTAAAATACAATTATTATTATTATTGTTATTAAATGCACGTATTATATAATTAAATTTATTTTTACTTAAACAAAAATAATTTTTCAAACTCTTTATTTACATAAATCATTCATCTAATAATTTATTCTACATTCTATTTCAATATAATGAGAGGAATTCAACTAAAAATGATTAAAATCGATTAAAGTGTATCAAATAATCAACGTAAAACCAATATTTGTTTCATTCCCAATTAAAAAAAAAAAAAAACTCACTTATTCATAGATAAAATATATTTGATAATTGTTCATGTATAAATATTTTCATTATCGAACAATTTAACAACAACTAAACTACATGAACGATTATTTAGTAAAAGACAATATAATTATTATATTGTTAATTTCTATTTTGATACATAAAATATGTTACTCCATCAATATCGAACATATTATTATTTGTTAAGTAAGTATGACCTTTACAATAATTTTTCTATAATATCTTGTTTTCTATGACTTATACATTTTTATCATATTTTGAGGTGAACTCTTCTTAATGATCATTTCTATCTTCTTACAATAATTTTAATTATTAAATGAAGACGCATTCATAACGGCTCATCAGTTATATTCAGTCAGAAATTAATGAATTTTTGATATTTCCCTTCTTTAATCAAAACATTTAATTCAAATGATTACAGAATAATTACATATACTTTATACCATTTTATAATTTTAATTATATGAATCAAATTCATTAAAAAATGTATGTTTAGTTGATGCATATTTAATATTATAAAGTCTATAATATCATTGATGTGTTAAAAGTAACTAATATTTTTAGTAGTATGATTTTAAACATTTAGTTCAAACGATTACAGAACAATCACACATACTTTATACCATTTTATAATTTTAATGATATGTTTAGTATTTTTAATGTACGTTTAGTTGATACATTTTTAGTAGTATGACTTTAAAATATATTTTTGTAAAAAAATGAAAAAAGAACGAAACTCCTAAATCAGGTGAAATAAAATAATGAGCAAAAGGTATTGCAGTACTGGTTTTTTCAACTAGAAACTTAAATACAATTATAAAGAACAAACTAGCTTTCTAAAAAATTATTTTGATGAAGAGGTCGAGTGGATCAGTTGATGTTCCTAAAGTTAATTGACATAGTAAAAAAAAAATTTCCCAAAATAAAGGCATCTAGAATTTAGAAAAATCAAAAATTTAAATTGCTTATAAGCAGTACTTAATTAAAATAAATTGCAACTATGAAATTTCTTGAACTAAATATTTAATATTTTTTAATGGAAATTCGTTAAAACATCTGATTTCGTAAAAAATTTCATTTAATAATGCTTATAAACCGATTTTCCAATTTTTATGGCTATAAAAAAAATTATATGAAAAATAATATATTCAATCTTATGATCTTACTGTGAAAATGTAATGGATATTTTTGATTTTTGTCATTTTACCAAAGTTTTTTCTTAAATCAGTAATATATATGTAAAAGGAATTTTGTATTACATCTTCAAGACTTTTTTTAAAACTAAAATTATTTTGTAGATATTTTCGTCCAAAGGCTAAAAAAATATGAATATTGCAATTTTCTATAAATAGTTTGATTTTATTTTTTAATTATTTTATTTAAAATAAATTATTATATT